ATGAGGGTCGTTTTCTCGTACCCTTTCCCCTTGGGTGAGAAATTGTGTGCGCCGTGTCAGAGGCCCAGTCAAGCGATGCCCCTCTTGCCATTCATGACTGCTCTGAGGGGAGCTAGCTAGTGGATCATGTGTTTTAAACTTCTGGACTCTGAATGCAGTACAGGCACTGCCACTGTCTGAGGGCCTCTGAGCATACTCTCCGGGTGCAGATCTTCTATCTATCACCCCCTCCTGAGAGTTGCCACCATGAGGCCCATTCTCCATCTCCTAGAACCAGTAATGAACCCTCAGACTACTTCCATAGTTTAAACATGCCAGCTCCCAGACCTCCACATAAAGAGGTGAGCCTTCTGCTTTACCTCTTCAAGGGGCCATGGGGTAAGGTATAAATGCTAAACACAGAACCAAACTTTGCACCAGACTTTAAACACTATTGTGTTTTCTTTAGTAGCATGTGAAATGTGCAGATCTAGACAACAACAAAAAATTACACACATTTCCCTGCCCCAGTTTCCTCATCACTCCAGAGCATTCTTTGGTCTGAGCTCAGAGTAGTCTGGGGCTGTCTAGAGTCCTTCTGTTGCAGTATGTGGTTTGAGTTCTGAAACATGGAACCTTCTTCTCCCAGCTTGCCTAATCTAACCCTAGTGGGTCAGTCCCTTTCCCCTCTTCTGCCCAAAACTTCCTGTATGTGTCTCTCCAAGTTTATATGTCTCACCACTAACAGCTTTGTCTCTTTATCCCACTTGGGGAATTTCCACTCTCTTCACTCCTTCTCCCTGCCCCCCAGACAAGAGGAGAAAGTATCTTCTCTCAGCAAACCCATTGTCCCAAGGTGCTTCACCCCAAAGAGATGGGCTTTGAGTTCCACTAAGCCACCATTGCTCCTAGTCTGGGAGGTACATGCTTAAAGACTTGTCAACAATGATGGATACACATAGTGAGAGGGACATTCATGATACAGTAATTTTCGTAGCAACAACTTCATAGTATTGACCAAAATTCATAAGTCATACTTAGGTTCCCCAAATAATCACACAATGGGTGGAGTGGTTTTTTTTTTTTTTTTTTTTAAATAATTATATACATGATACTCTGTGTTTATGTTAGAGGGGACCAGGTCAAAGAGGTGCTCCATGTACTTGTAGTGAAAGGTGGGGAGGTTTGTGATGGTCTTTAGTTCCTGCAGGAGTTTGTTTCACCATCTCTGATGGGCCCTCGAGAAAGCTCTGTCACCTGCACAGATGAGCTTTACCATTGTAATAGAAAGTTCAACTGTTCCTGAGGAGCAGAATTGTTGACTTCAGTCCTCATTCTGGAGCTTTAGATTGGTAATTTGCCAGTAGGGGGAGGCTGTAGTGTGAACTTGTATGTTTTTACTCCCTCTTGCCTCACTATTCTGAGCAGGAGGTAGAAATGGCTGAATCTTGTCTACATGACTGCCCCCATGCTGGTTTCTGGGTCCACATTAGATATCGCATGTATGTGCGATGTGTATGTGTTAATGGGTTGTGGTCGGTTTCTTTCAGCAGACTCTGGGATGCTGGTTTCTCTAGCAGAGGAGAGTGGGTGACAATTGAGCAGTCTAGTCCTTGTATGTGAGTGATGATGCTCATTTGTGATTTTGGGCTGCCACTCTGCATGATTTCACAATGTCCACGAATCCATATGCTGGACTCCATTAAAAGAAGCCTACTGCCCCCTCTGCATTTAAAAGGACATCAACTTAGAAATCACACTTCTTTCTGATTTTTTTTAAACCTACTATCATTGCAAGTAGCTCCTTAGAGAGATCAGAGAAAAATAGTTATGAATTAGTTTAGCTTGTGCATTTGATAGTTCTCTTGTGAAAAGAACTGTGAGTTTCATGGCTTCCTCTACATATAGAGTCAGTTTCCTTTGTTTGTGCAGGACTTTCATTTAGCAATCAGCAGGGGAGAAAGAGATATTTAAAATTAATAGAAAAACATGTGATTGTAGAACCACAACCTTTGAAGAGGGACTCGAGGGTGAAATAGACCAGACAAGGTTCCTTTAACACAAAGTGGACAGTTGACAGAAAAGACAAAACACAAAAGGGGACATTAGTTAATAGATACACAACAAAGTAATCCCCTATTACTACCCACTACTATAAAATCTGTGGCCATTTTTGCATATATCGGCCTTAATCTCTCTGTATCACAGTTTGCCTATCTGTGCCATAGGGCTAATACTTCCCTTCCTCAATGGTGTTGTTAGAGATGAAAGGTGCTATAGAAATGCATAATATTGTTCTGTATTAAACAGCTGTAAGGTAGTGAATACAAAATACCTATAGATCTATAGTAGGGCTGTCGAATAATCGCAGTTAACTCATGCGATTAACTAAAAAAATTGTGATGTAAAAAATTAATCACGATTAATCGCACTGTTAAACAATATAGTACCAATTGAAATTTATTAAATATTTTTGGATATTTTTCTACATTTTCAAATATATTGATTTCTATTATAACACAGAATACTAAGTGTACAGTGCTCACTTTATATTATTTTTTTATTACAAATATTTGCACTGTAAAAATGATTAAATAAATAGTATTTTTCAATTCACCTCATACAAGTACTGTAGTGCAATCTCTTTATTGTGAAAGTGTAACAAATGTAGATTTTTTTTGTTACATAACTGCACTCAAAAACAAAACAATATTAAAATTTTAGATCCTACAAGTCCACTCAGTCCTACTTCTTGTTCAGCCAATCGTTAAGACAAACAAGTTTGTATAGATTTACGGGAGATACTTCTCCTGCTTCTTATTTACAATGTCACCAGAAAGTGAGAACAGGCATTCGCATGGCACTTTTGTAGCTGGTGTTGCTAGGTATTTACATGTCAGATATGCTAAACATTCATATGCCCCTTCATGCTTCGGCCACCATTCCAGAGGACATGCTTCCATGCTGATGATGCTCATAAAAAAAAAAATGCATTAATTAACTTTGTGTTTGGACTACTTGAGGGAGAATTATATGTCTCCTGTTCTGTTTTACCTGCATTCTGCCATATATTTCATGTTATAGCAGTCTCAGATGATGACCCAGCACATGGTTTTAAGAACACTTTCATACCAGAATTGACAAAACACAAAGAAGGTACCTGTGACAGGATGATTCCCCCCTCCCCCGCCTCCTGGGGTGCCACCTGATATGCTGGGTCTCACTGAGCCCGGCCTTTCCACCAGCCTGGGTAACCCTAACCCTAACCCTGTCCTTGCTGTGCTAGGCTCTCAAGCCTTCTCCAGAATACACACAGCGAAGGCCACAGCTAGGGGAATGGCCAGCACTCACATGCACACCTCCTTTGGGTATAAACCCAAAATAATAATGTCTTGTGCTGTATAGAAAGATCTGCACAGCGCAAGCTCATAAAAATTCGCCCCCTCCCTCAATGTGGAGGAGGATATGCACAGCTTTTTGCCCCCTCCCCCCCCCCAGATATGAATTGCACAAACTGAGGTTTGTAATAAACAAAAAATAAGTTTCTTAACTACAAAAGGTAAATTTTAAGTGATTATAAGGGATAGCAAACAGAACAAAACAGATCACTGAGCAAATAAAACAAAACGCACAAACTAAACTTAATACGCTCAAGAAACAGGTTACAAAATTTAATTTTTCACCCTAATTGTTGTTTTAGGCAGGTTGCAGAGTTTCTGTAGCTTAGAGTCTTATTGTTCTTTCTAATGGCACATTGAGGCTGATTGCCTACTGTCTGCTGGGTGTTCCCCCAAATACACACAAAGTTGTAATTGTTACATAGTCAATATTCCTAACCTCAGATACCGAAATGATATATGCATACAAATTGGATAAACACATAAACACATTCAGTAGATCATAACCTTTCCAATGATACCTCACATGACCCATCTTGCATAAAACATATCTTAGTTATGCCATATTCATATCATAACAATATTTCTATGAAGAATATGGGGTGCAATGTTACAGTACCAATAGCTACAGCACTCGACCCAAGGTTTAAGAATATGAAGTGCCGTCCAAAATCTGAGAGGGATGAGGTGTGGAGCACGCTTTCAGATGTTTTAAAAGAGCAACACTCAGATGCGGAAACTATAGAACCCAAACCACCAAAAAAGAAAATCAGCCTTCTGCTGGTGGCATCTGACTCAGATAATGAAAATGAACATGCGTCGGTCCGCTCTGTTTTGGATCGTTATCAAGCAGAACCTGCCATCAACATGGAGTCCTCTGGAATGGTGGTTGAAGCATGAAAGGACATATGAATCTTTAGCGCATCTGGCACATAAGTATCTTGCGACGCCAGCTACAACAGTGCCATGCGAACACCTGTTCTCACTTTCAGGTGACGTAAATAATAAGTGGGCAATATTATCTCCTGCAAATTGTAACTAAACTTGTTTATCTGAGTGATTGGCTGAAGTAGGACTGAATGGACTTGTAGGCTCTAAAGTTTTATATTGTTTTATTTTTAATGCAGTTATTTTTTGTACATAATTCTACATTTGTTTGTTCAACTTCCATGATAAAGAGATTGCACTACAGTACTTGTATTAGGTGAATTGAAAAATACTATTTCTTTTGTTTTTTACAGTGCAAATATTTGTAATCATAAATAAATATAAAGTGAGCACTGTACACTTTGTATTCTGTGTTGCAACTGAAATCAATATATTTTAAAATATAGAAAACATCCAAAAATATTTAAATAAATGGTATTCTATTATTGTTTAACAGCACAATTAATCACAATTCGTTTTTTTTAATCTCAATTAATTTTTTTAATTTCTTGACAGTCCTAATGTATAGTATATTTTATTCTACCCATGTTTCCAAAAGAATTTGAAGCAAGCAAGCAAATAAACTAAACAAAAGTGCGTATTATTTAGGAGATTTTCCCTGTCATCTTGTAAATATTTATACTATGAAAACTGAGTACATTGACTTAGGTTTAAGAAGGTATTGCCATTTTCCAGGTCTGTCACTGGAGCGCTCGCCCAATTCGATTGCCTCCCGTGCTCGGCTGTCCGAAAGGGAAGAGGAGGTTGTGGCTTGTTTTGAGAGAGCATGTGTCATTGCACAAGTGTATTTGCAGGAACTTGAGAAGGTAAGGAAGAAACATGCTCTAAGTGTGACTTACCTATATGTGGCCTAAATTCTATCTTTGAACAGGGCTCCCAGTGAGTTTGTCAATGGAAGCTGTGCAAATCCAAGGGCAGAATTACAAGTGCTGATAGACTGAAAGGATTGTCACCTACTGAAAGGGTGATGTGTCCTCTCAATATTTCAGACAATAGAAGAGTTTTGATACAGTAGAACCCTTATTTTACTAACTAATTGGGGCCTGAGGGGTTCATAAAATCAAAAAGTTCATAAAATTGAACATCTGAAAACTACAGTAAGTATGGTGCATAAGTTGTAGCATGGTGCACTGTATCACTTTCTTTTTGTCCTTCCAATCACTGCAAAGTGATTCCCAATGCATGCAAGCAGATGATAAGGATAATGAGTCTATAATCGTATCACTTTTCGTTTCCTTCCCAGACCTTGCATTCAAGAAGCATAAAAGGCAGCAATGTGACTTTCTCTGACTTTGAACTTCCCTATTTCCTGGAAGCAGCTCTACAGAGTGCATATGTGTCTCATTTGAAGAAGGGGTAGGTGGATGCAGCTATTTAATACAAATGATTAATGCTGAAGATACTTTCACAGTGGATTTAGACATACTTCTCCAAACCTGCCCTGTAGCTTCTGTAAGAGAGCTAAGTGGAATGAGCTGACACAGCTCTTGCCACGGCATATTATAGCTACATCTCTGTGCTATGTTGATTTTGCTGCTGTTCTCCTTTCAGGCTTCTTTCATTCATTCTACCTGACAGTGGCTCCAAACTGCTGTTCTCTGGACACAGGCATGTAATTTCTGCTCTTTTTGGGCCCAATTCTACTCCCACTGAAGTTAATGAGAGTTTGACCTTTGATTTCAGTGGGAGCAGAGCAAAGACGACACTGTATGTTTTTGAAAATCTCAACCCTAGGGTGTGATCTAAAGCCCAATGAAGTCACTGGAAATTCTCCCATTGACTTCACTTTGTTTGAATCAGGCATTTAAGGCCTAAATAGCAGTAAAACTGAGTGTGAGGAGAACAGACATGCAGGTGAGGGCTCCCTTACAGGGTAACTATGATACAGTTTGGGGGTTCATTTGAATCCAAAACTCAAAAAGACATTGGCGGCTGCAAACCTACTGTAAATTGCAACTGAAGAAAATGTTCATGTAGTAATAATAATACCTGACATTTATAAACCCCTCTCTCATCTGAGGGGCATACTTTAAAACACAAATGGATGTACCTTCACAAACACCCTGCTGAGGCTGGTAAGTCTGTTTTACAGATGAAGAAACTGCAGCACAGACACACACTGACTTACCTCAGGTCATATAAAAAGTATGTATAAGAGCTAGGACTAAGGTCTCCTTCAGTCCTATGCCTTAACTATAAGACCAACATTCCTCCCCAAAGTGAAACAGCTGCTGAATTTTGCACAGCTCTGTGTACTAGGCCTGGTCAAAACATTTTTTCAGCAAAACTTTTTTGCCCCTTCCCGCCCC